CCTTTTGGTAACTTTAGCCATTCATCTAACCTTTAACCCAACCTTTATCGGACGTTTTATCATTTTCTGAAGGCTAGCCAGAAATGTAGCCCTTGTGCAACATGGCTACCTAAATAAAATGAGCAAGCACGTTATACTAACAAAACCTATGGACTTACATCTTCGACCGTCGTCGCCTACTGCTAAGGGATTTTGCAGTATCGCTCTGTTTCTCTGTCAGCAGAGGTCACTTTGATCACAGTTGTTAACTCATAGGTTTTCAACTCGGTGATGAGAGCATACATGATATTGGCGCTATTTAGTCTAATTCCGTGCATCTGCTTCTGGGCCCAGACTGGGGTGTTCTTATTGCTGCAAATGCTTCGTGAGATGTGCTTGTTGTTATAGGCAGGGGACGCATCTTGCGCTCATATTCATGCATGACTGCCAACCAGCGTCCCATTTGCTAAATAAACCTGAAGGTAACAACAAAGTTGATCTACCATATTAGATATCCCTAACCCCAGAATTCTGTCTGACAGGACACGGTGGTATTAGTTTAATTTTAATGCAGTTTTGTTGGTGACATTCTTAAATTTAGTAGTAGGCGTAGTTATGCTTATTGATGCAATCAAAAACCTGGAAATCTTTAGCTTACAGTTGGTACTTTAAGTTTTTTTTTAGTTTAAGTTTAGTTTATTATTTAGTTTATTAACTTAATTTTACTTAGCTTAATTGTTAATTCAATTTAGTTTTTTATGCAACATACGACTTCTTGTCGGCTTATCGTACTAAAATATGTGTCCAGATGCACAAGAAGCTGTTGTGAGTTCAACAAATTGGTGAAAAGCCTATTTTTCATGGTTTTATTTTCATCTCCAAATTCTGCTAGAGTCGATATTGGTTTCTAGCCTATTTCCACCTACCTTTTGCGCAGATCCTGTTTCCTGTTGGTTGTGTTTGTCATTTTTAATTATCGCGCGCAAAACTTTGGTTATTTAATAATTATGCTTTTGCACGCTTAACTTTTTAAATTTATCCTTCCTTTCCTGTGATAGATTCAACCGTAAAACCTCTATTAACACTGCTTCCGTAGGGCACAACGATGGGCTAAGCGATATCTAAGTACCTTGGCATATGAGAATGCTTCTGTTTTGTTAACTCTAGCTTAGTTTAGTGTATAGTGGTTATATAAGTATATCTATCTAAATTTGGTGGTTTCTAACTAAACTAAAAAGGTAAACATAATAAAACTAAAAGTAACCACAAGACTAGGAGCTAGGGAATCTAAGGTGGTAGACCAACTCTATTGTCACCAACTAGGAACTTTAGAACGCTTAGACACACGACACCGTCTAACTCCGTCGTGCG